TAAAAAAAGTAAAACCAAAAAGCAGAGGACGAAAAGCTTAATAAAAACTCACAACTCAGTCCATTACTGGCCACCACAAAGACTTGACTTAATTATATTAGTTTGTTACATATCAATCAGTTATGTGCCATGCGTGATACAGGATTAGGCGATCATTTATCTTTCGACAAGGCAGATTTTTTTCCGCAGTAGGTTGCCATTTCTTGCTGCGGTAGACCAGTTGCCATCCAAGGCTATAGAACTCAGTCTGTCCTGCTATTTATCCATATCTGGGGGGAGAAGAAGAGGATTTATACCTTTCCCAAGGGTATTAGAACGTAAGTGAATGCAATGGATTCGACTGAAATTCGAACTCGGCTCTCCGATTCCTCAATCCAAGCCGCAATCCATTACTACACAATACTACACGATTAGGCGATCATGTATCTTTCGATACATGACTGATGAGGCAGATTTTTTCCCGCAGTTGGTTTCCATTTCTTTCTGCGGTAGACCAGTTACCATCCAAGGCTATAGAACCCAGTCTGTCCTGCTATTTACCCATAGCTAGGGGGGAGAAGAAGAAGAAGATTCATACCTTTCCCAAGCGTATTAGCACGTAAATGAATGTAATGGATTCGACTGGAATTCGAACTCGGCTCTCCGATTCCTCAATCCGAGCCACTATCCATTCGTCCTTCGGTTTTTTTTATTTTTATTGTTTTATTTTTTCTGAGAATGATCTCGAAGAATCATTTTTCGTAGCATTTTTTGCCTCTTACTAATCCTGGTCATCTTGTGAAACCGTTCTATGACGTTACTGCAATTTTATTTCACATTATAAACCACTTTGAGATGGAATGCCAACTAGACAAATATGAGCATGTTCGAAATTTTCTCTTAGGTTGTAATCACGGTCACAAAACTGCCAATGTTGCTCGAGACATTTGTGCTGTGTACGGAGACGAAATGCTTCCATACAACCAAACGGTCAATACTAAGCTGTATGCTGAACAAAGGAACAGGCTCAAAGAAACACTTCAGCTCAAAGAGGCAATTCAGCTTAACTGACCTGAACGGCGATAATCTGATTATTCTACATAACAATGCTTGCTCCCACGTCGCTAACATGACCAAACGTGTAAACAGCTCGGTTGGGAAATTCTGCCACACCCACCATATTCTCCCGATTTAGCCCTATCAGAGTACCACCGTTTTCAGTCACTTTCTAACAGTTTGAGGGGTGTTTCATTCAACAACGATGTGGAGCTTAAAACGTGGCTTGATTAATTTTTCGAGTCAAAATCAAGTCATTTCTATCGCTGACGTATTGAACAGTTAATGGATCGTTGGCTGGATGTCGGAAACAATGAAGTCGTAATGATTTATACGGAGTATTAATAAATAATGATTATTAAAATAAATTATTAAAAAAATGAACGAATTTATGTAACAAACTAAAGTCTATAACCTATTAATTCCCACTGGATCCAAAAATAAGACGATGTGCATTGATTGGTCATGTAATGATGATGGTAAAAGTGGTGAGGATGAACAACATCACTCTCTTCCCGTCAGAGCATTGAAAATATTCTCTGAGAATATGGGACGTATACTATTACTAGCAGCATGGCCCGGCGTTGCCCGTGCTTGATTCAAAAATCGTACGACTCATACAGCACTGCACGCACTAATCTGTTTCTTCCCGCGCATAGCGTGACCTTAAATTAATCTGCATTTAGGAAATACCCAACCGGAAAAACATTTTTAAGGGTTGACCGATTGTCCATTTGCACTCTGTTTGGAGGCGCTCAGAGCTAAAACTTCACCTGGTGACTCCCAATGGCCTCCTCATAAATCCGATCGGTTTTCGCTAAAAACCGACATGTGGTTCAGACGCAATCTGGGCGTATCGGTTTTTGGGTTTTATCGATTTTCTGCACTGTTTAGGGGTCCGTGGTCATGAAACTTCTGGGCAACACTTCTAATAGTAGACTCTAAGAGGGTGTCAAATTTGGTTGAAATGCAATAATTCCTTCTGTAAGCAGATTTTTTCGATTATCGATTTTTTCGATTATCGATTTTTTCGATTATCGATTTTTTCGATTATCGATTTTTTCGGAACCTGAGTCCGAACTGAAATATCGGGCTCCGTCATGTCCTTAAGGCAGCCATTTGCAAACTTGTGTTGAAAACCGCATCGAAATCGGGTGAGAAATGCGGCCTGGGCAAGGTAACAACGCCCACGACAGACACACAGACAGACAACATGAGAAATATCCCTATTTACCCTAAAGTAAAATGTTTCGATCAGTCTCATCTACATATGCTTGTGTTTTTAGCTCCAAATATCCGAACGATGAAATTTTTCTTTGGAGAAAATTCCACGCAGGACGTCCTTTTTCCGATCACCCCTTTTATTAAATATTCAAGAAATGTCGTTCTATCCTTAATCTAGGCTTGCAGGCATTTTAGCACAAAGCGTTCATTATTGAAAATTATAAAATATTATTTTGAAAATTTTGAAAAATATTCCATCCACAGATATTTAAAATTCTGTACTTGTTTGGTTTTGAAATCTTGAAATTCCTAGCTAACTACTTGGACTTTTTTCTCTGGCTGACAACCATAGATTCTGTCTTTTAACAATTGATAGCTAGTCTTTTCTTCTCGCTTTCCTTTACTAATCTGTGTAGGAGGTCCTGTAGTTTTCTTTCTGTGTCTGCAATTAACACGTTCGATAACATAATCCCCATTTTTATTATTATGGATGAAGGCAGACTGTGAAGTCATCCCTTCATCTTTTTTTTTTTTTCATATGCCGATTCGCTTCAGGACATGGGCAATCTTGACTCTCCAAAACTTCCGGTCCTTTCTAACTCTGTGAAACGTTTCGCACTTTACACTCTTTCTTTGCCCATGCTTTGCGACTCATTCACCAAAGCTCGTTGGGTAGGTTAATCTTCACTATGTGTTGTGGGTATTAAATTTTCCAGGCCTTCTTTCCTCCTTTCGTGTCTCAAAAATGAGAAATGTATTTTAAGTATAAATGTCCGTTTTTTTTTCTCTTTGCAGCTGAAAATAGCAAAAAAAGAGAAATATTTTTAATAATAGTATTTGTATATGTTCGATTTTTGGAAAGCCCTAACTTTGTCAATTTATTAGTTTTCTCGAATATTGCTATATATTATAAGGTGAAAAAAAGTTCTTTTTTTTCTCCAATGTTATACCTAAGTTTATTATTTTTTGCGCATGAGTAAAGTTTTATCCTTTGCTTCCTGTCTAGGATTTAGTTTCCGACTGCTTCTGAAGTCGACTTCTACTCTATACCTCTAAGATCTCCGCTTAAACTCAGAAATTTTATTTACCATATATATATATATATATATATATATATATATATATATATATATATATATATATATATATATATTTAAGCGTTTCACACCAAGCAAGGCGGGAAGCCACTAGCACGCGAGGGGTTACAGTGAGTTGGACCTAGAGAAAATAGGAATGATAGAGGAAAGGATGAAGAGAAGGATGGGGGATAGATCAAGGCATCAGGGGACGTCGATTGACATTGCATTTGAATAGTTAGAAATTATAGCTATCAGGGAAACAGGAAAAGGGAAGGGAGTTCCACAGGTGAGAAGTGCGAGACATGAAGCTATTGGAGTAGAAGAGACGGCTACATTTAACGGTTTCGATAGTGAAAAGGTGAAAGCGAGATGCCAGCCTAGTTGAACGCTTAAATTCATGAAGTCTGGGAACCAGTGAAAGCAGCTCATTGGAGCAGTTACCGTGAAAGTATTTGTAAAAAAGACAGAGAGAGGAGACGGATATATATATTCCATAGGCGAGAGGTGCGAGACATGAAGCTATTGGAGTAGAAAAGACGGCTACATTTAATAGTTTCGACAGTGAATGGGTGAGAGCGGGATGCCAGTCTCGTCGGGCGCTTGAATTCATGAAGTCTTGGAACCAGGGAATGCAGCTCCTCGGAGCAATTATCATGAAAGTATTTGTAAAAAAGGCAGAGAGAGACGGATATATATATATATATATATATATATATATATATATATATATATATATATATATAGTTAAGTTCGGTGAAATCCATTTTGAATGAATTTGCTCTTGTCGTGGTTAAGCAACGGCGAACCTGGGTTACGGAACAATAGATACTCGTGTCAGATTTAACAAATAATATTTCCTCTATCAGAATGCGACATTCTTTTCCTAACAGTGACATGTTATGTTTCTTTGCATAGGAATACCTGTAACTTTGGATTGATTCGTCTACCTGTACATTCGCCTTTGTTTGTGTTTCCTTGAATGTCTGCCTTTGTGCGTCTCCATTAATCTGAACCTATGCGTCTGTGTGGACTTCTCAAACTGCTTGTAAGTGGGATTGACTGACATTACCATTTTTTTTTTCAATATCACTACAAAAAAAAATAAAAGTTTAGTGTATACATGGTTGAGGCGGGGTGGATATTTGATGCACAAGAGCCAGTCGGACGGGGTCCTTCCCAAGTTGTCAGCTACCTGTTGAAAGTTTCTTTGTTACTCTCTATCCAATACACACATACACACACAGAAGAGTAACACTCCAAAAGTAATGACTCCCATTTATTTACGCGCAAACTACAACAGATACAGGGATTAAAATAACACCGTTGAATAGTACAAGTTTTCATCTACAAAACACTATTTTCCCAGATAATCACCATTGATGGCAATGCGTTTTAAAGACGCTCTTCATTTCATGGGTTGACAGCTGCGCGGAACGTTGGCATATATATTACTATAGTCTATACTGAAGCGCATTGCCCACCATCTATGTTCATATCCACTGAATGGTCTCCGTAAAAGATCAGTAAACATCAATCAATGTCAATGTAAACAATTTATACCACATGGAGAAATTCGATAATACATATTTGTTCCGTAAAGCGCTTTCATGTCAGACTCCATCTTGCCAGACTAGCGCTCAACTTCTAGTTTGAACAAGCAAA